AGATTGATGCGCGTCTCATCAACAAAAGCCTTTCTGCCAAACTAGAAGAAATCACTGGCGTGAGGATCGATCCATCTTCCAGCAATTTGCTTTTCTCATTTAAAATATGATTTATCAACAAATTGAGCTTTAAGGCCACGTTGGCAAGCGATTTAATGCTCGTAGTGGATTCATTTTCTTTTCATTATGCTATTACACGCTCGGGTAGTCGGAGCCATTGTGAGATCTTCCCATTTTTTTCTTCCTCCTGTCAGACCTCGACGGCTCATAGACACGGGTCACGAAAGCTGGAAACATCCCATTTGCCCCCCATTTCCAGTGACCAGTCATTAGCATGTCCAGCATGACTCTGAATGATAGGCTATCGTTGTGGAGAGACGCCTGGCTCTAGGGCTTGTTGTCATTGTGTAGCTATTGACTGATAGATGATGAGAGATGATGTGAGCTTCAAACACCGCTGACAGCTTGATGACTGTGCCAGGCTCCGGCTGATGTCGTCGTCTCAGTGGAGCGCCAATCTCTGCTGTCAGATGGGGTTTTTAAACTGCTTTGGTTGAATTTTGATTGCCCCGAACTGGCAGTTAGGAGGTCAGGTAATGGAGGAAAGTGTTTGTAAATGTCAGACTGTATTTGGACACTTAGTGGGAGCAGGACTTTTTCGTGGTGTTTGGTTTTAATGCTGTGTGTTATGTGGGTTAATAAGAAGGGATTGAGTAAAGCGATGTTATTAAAGTCAGTACAGTGAAAGAGTCAAAATGAATCATTTAATGATTATACAAGTATGGAAAACATTAAGAGATTCGTTCTCAGTTTTTCTGGGTTTACTGGATTTATAAGGTTGTGGTTTGAGTAATGTTTTATATGTTTTATTATGTTAGTCTGATGTCATTTCTGAAAATGTTTGAATAAAAATATTGTCATATATATATTTTTTTTTTATGTTGTTGTTGCTGTAAAGGAAATGTTGGGCACGTTTTCAATTTTCCACCAAATTATTCCACCAAATTATTATTATTATTTTGAAAAATTCTGAAGTTAAAACATTGTGTATTGTGCTAAAATAACATTGCTTTAGTGCATTTCTCACAGCACTATTTATATTTGCACAACAGTTAATGCATTTCTCAAAACAATTAGTACAAACTGCAAAACCTTCCTGATAACCTGCAAAATCGTGTCACTTGCACAAAATGGATAGCTCTTACCTCAAAAGCAATTATTCATGTCAGTGAAGTTTCAGTGTCATCAAGATGAAAAGTCCTGACACCATGCGAACGCGAGGAGAACATGCAAACTCCACAAAGAAATGCGACCTTCTTGCTGTGAGGCGACAGCACTACCTGCTGCACCACCGTGTCGCACTACTCAAACATGTCTCAGACTTTTTAAAATTACATTTGATCTTTTTCTTTAAAATATCAGGATAGAGACCATCATTTTTTTTTATATTATATTATATATTTTTATATATATTTTTATTTATATTATTATATGCCCCTGAAAAAAAATTGCATTGATCCTTATTTCCTATTATTTTCCTATGCAGGGTTATGAAAGTAAACTAAAATCATAAAACTAAAATGATTTTCGATAAGAGATAGACAGATAGATAGATAGACAGATAGATAGATAGATAGATAGATAGATAGATAGACAGACAGACAGACAGACAGACAGACAGACAGATAGATGTGTATATATAAGAAAACCGACTTCAACTGTAAACTAATTTATGAAAGCTACTTGATAATACAAACCACTCTGTTCAATTACCATTTTAATGTGTGTGTTTCTGTTTTTATTTTATTTATTTTTTTAAATAAACAGATCCACATAAATAAATGAGTTCATCATGTCACTGAGCATGCGGTCTCTCAGATGTTTAGCTCTGGTCATCCCGCAGTGAGCTTTAGAAACACCCGAGTGCTTTTCTCAACTCACAGCAATTAACACAATCTCCTGGCTGGCTAATTACAGCTCTGATATATCCACATTAACACCTCGCTTTAGCACATCAACCCCTTGCTACATGTGCATACTATTTAAACTGCTCCTTTTGTAATCTTAATTTTGTTTTTTGGAGATTGTAGTACAGTAAATTACTTTTTTTTAGCTGGTGTAGTTTGTTTAGCTGGTCCTCTAACCAAATCAACCATCAACCACATCAAAATTATTTATTTTATTTTGCATAGCGACTTGTGAAAGTAGATTTAAGATTTAACTAAATTTCAAGATTTAGCAAAATTTTGAAGAAGAAATTTTGCTTTTGTGGTTACATATGTGATACAGTAAATGTGTCTGAAAATTTATTTTTCATACTATGGATGTCAATGGCTACAGGTTACATGCTTTCTATAAAATAACGTATTTGTGTTTATAACCACTTAAGGGAGTAAAGTAAGTAAAAAGTAAGTAAATTTTCAATTTCCAGCCTGATCTCATGAGGAAACGTAACTTTTTTAACATTTTGTCAGTTTAGTGGCTAATTTGTATGAATTCGCATGAGTTCAGTCGTACGAAAATGTATAATTTTAAAAAGAAGGCATCCAACCCCTCCCCTAAACCCAACTGTCATTGGAGCATAAGCAAATCACATTAAAGAGAGATTGTACGAATTCATATAAATAAGTTACAAATTTATTTATTTATTCTTTTTTTTTTCTGTGATATATTACGATATGAACTAGATGAGTTGAATAAGATTCTGTAGGGGAGTGCATAAAATATAATTCAAGTTTATTTGTATAGCACTTGAGCACAATAAGTCTTGTATAATAAGCAAAATATTTATATTATTGAGCACAATATTTGTATAATAAACAATCTATAAGCTTAGATAAATTCAAAAACCAAAAATATGCAAATTAAATATACAGCATTTTATTTCTAAAGAGTCAAAATGTTTTCAGGCATACATTAATTGAATAATCAAATGTAAATTTATTTTGCATAGTCTTTGTTTTATAAACAATTAAATTACAGTAACTTATTCATTTTTCAAAGTTACAAATGGTACGTTTTTTAGCTTTTAAAACCCTCACACAATCTCAGGCCTCAAAAAACACTTGCAAAATGATCAATTGTAATCCATATTGCGCATACTTGCGATGTGACTATTGCGAATGATCACATTGCGATAACGATGCTAAACCGATATATTGTGCAGCCTTAGTGAGATTGTGTTAAAAACGCTGCGTAAAAAAAAACGTGCTGGATAAGTTGGCGGTTCATTCCGCTGTGGCGACCTCAGATTAATTAAGGGACTAAGCTGAAAAGAAAATGAATAAATTGAATGTTTATCGCATATCACATAATCACTAATCAATAAATCCTGCAGGGATAGACTTTTCATCGAGTTAATCTGAGTGTATTTTTTCAGGCTTGGATGTTTCAGTTTGTTTGGACGAGGTTGCATCATTATTTTCACCTTTAAACCTCAAAATCCCTTTTTTTCTCCCTTCCCTATTCTCTGTTGTTTTTCTATCATTGACAGATTGTCAGATAGCGTATACTGTGTGTAAGAATTAAGTGAACCTGTTAGCCAGGCACCTGTTCTGTTTGGCTCATGTTGAGCTTTGCTATAAAATCCTTTGTTTTGTTGGATGAGCTTTTCTAGCTGCTGATTAACACTAGAACCGCCACAGGGGTAAAATAACCCATGGTTGTTTTTCAAATGTACACAGCAGATTTTCAACTAATCTATCCAAATCATTAGGCTTTAATACATTTTGTTAATTATGTTATTTACAATTCCCTGTTGTTAAAATTGCTTAAATATAACTAGATTAGGTGCCATGGTGTCTCAGTGGTTAGCACTGCAGCTTCACAGCAAGAAGGTCACTGGTTCGAGTCCCGATTGTGTGGAGTTGGCATGTTCTGCACATGTTGTCGTGTCTCCTCGTGGTTGTGAGAATGAGTGTGTATAGGTGTTTCCCAATACGGGGTTGTGGCTGTAAAGGCATCTGCTGCGTAAAACTTATGCTGGAATAGTTGGCGGTTCATTCCGCTGTGGTGACCTTGACCTTATCTTGAAATAGAGACTAAGTCGAAGGTAAATGAATGAATGAATGAATGAATGAATGAATGAATGAATGAATAAAAACAATTTAGTAATGTGGTTTTTAGACAAATATGTGAATATTGCATTTTTAACTTTGCAAATGTTCAGTACTTTTGTGAACAGATTTAAGATATGTATTTTACAAAGCGTGTTTTTCCTGAAAATCTAAACAAAATATTTTGTTAAATTTTAGTTTAAATTTCAAGTGAAAACAGAGAGCATTGAGTAAAATTTGTTATACCAAACATGATCACCAGTTGACACCAGTTTGGCGGTGTTTGATTTAAATTTTGCCTCCTAAAATGCATAATAAAAACTGAGAATCAAAATTTCATAATATGTAATACATGTTCAGACCATTGTTTTCTAAAGAAATATCTCTTTTTTTGGGGGAGTGATTTTACATGTGGATGTGGATTACATTTATCCTATCATTTCATTTTCTTTATTTTTATTGACTTTTTTACTATATATATATATATATATAAACACACAATAAACCTGGAACTCTAAAAGAACAGATTCAGGGGTTTGGAAGATTTTTGGCCATTTTAGTAAAGTGGATGTGGAATATGTATGGATCAAAATGTAATATGTAATTTGGTAGTCTTCAATCAAAATATGACCATTTGCTTTTTTATTTGAAGTGGTGGTCCTTCTCTGTAAAGATGCACAAAAAGAAAGCTCCGCCCCCCTACACAATATTCAGTTTTAATTGGGAGTACATCAACAAACTAAATTAAAAGTCTCAGTAACTTCCGGTTCACCCAGTCTTTAATGCACTGACCTCACAAAGTTTTAGCCATATCAACACGGCATTCATAAATTGTACCCGCTGGCAGTTTTTAAGTATACAAAGACCCCTGGCGGTTTCATTGTTAAGCCCATGGCTCAAAGCTAAAGCTCACTGACCTGAAATATCTCTCTCTTTTCTCTGCAGGTACAACCAGGCAGCCCAGAGAAGGAGAAGTTCCTGGAGTAGACTATAATTTTGTGACCGTTGAGCGTTTTGTGGAGTTAGAGAGAAGTGGAGCTTTGCTGGAAAGTGGAACTTATGAAGGTACGTCAACTGAGTTTCACAATCAGATTTCAAGTTATAGTTTTTGTCCCAATATCTCATTGCTGTGATTAGAGATTTGAGCAATCCCTAAACTAATTAACCACACCACCCAAGTATTAAACTTTGGTTTGGGACTACAGACGTTCCCCACAATGTAAGCTTAACCCTTTATAGGGTAGTCATTGAAAGACTCAATAGACCAAGTCTGGAGGGTTACTTTGGGTTGTTTCAAAACTTTTAAACCTTTATAACAAAACAAAACAAAAACCTGTCAGTAAATGTACCATATATGCTGCCCAACAAAAGCAAAGTACGGTATCTACGTAAACAATGGAACACATTTTGTAGTTACTGCTATTTTGACACTCTTTTTTTTTCTCTGATACAAGACAAAATTTAACCAGGAGACTTTGTCACAAGACAGAACAGATGTCACAAAGTCTATTTTAGCCTTTAAATCAATTACACCCAATTGTGTAGTTTCTGTCTTTTGCTTTTGTAGGGCAGTATTCTTGACCAAATAACATAAAGGGTTAAAAATTATATATAATTGTATATGTTGTATTACAGGCTCATTGTGAAAACATATCCCCATATACATTTCTGGAGAGCATGAATTATGAGGCCAGAGCTACATATGGCTGCATTTTGTCTTTAAAACGCACGTTACGATGCGGTATGACGCCACCGACACCTTCTATTTGTTTTCGTGCTATGGGCTGACCACTTATCTCCATACAGACAGCTGTACCGCTAGTCGCATACGTTGGCAGACTTAAGACGCAGAGATAAGTTGACCACGACAACGAGATTCGAGTCTGGCAACGAATGGCTCCAGAAAGCATGTAAAACTAAAAAAAGGGAAAAAAATAAACAAGTTAATAACAGGGTGACAATGTGGTAAGATCTGAAAATGTGGTAAAAATGAGGCGGCTGCGAGGGCATTTCTTTTTCTGAATTGTTTTTGAAAACACTTGATTGGGTTTAGGGAAGGTGGGAGGCGGGTTAGTCAGTACTTTTGAAAACACTATCGGTTGGGTTTAGGAAAGGCGACAGCCTTGACAGCGGCCTCCAGTAGATTTACGTGAGAACAGCAGGCAGGAATGGTAATTGCGAGAGAAATTTGAGATCTGAAAATGCATACACAGCAGCCTCTAGTAAATTTGTGAAAACAAAAACGGCCAAAAGCACCTCCTGGGATGTATTTCGCATTTTCCAGAAATGTATAAAGGTGTACATATCAATAATGAGCCTGGGTATATACCAATGAAATTGTATTATATTTTAGGATCTACAGTAATTATCACTGGCCTTCTAAATTTATTTGAGGCATGTTCAGGGTGTAATAAAAAAGGGATTGAAATATCAGTTTGCAAATAAAGTCAGCTAAATAATCTTACTAGGCTTCCTTTAAATAAGTAAACTATTTAAAAGTTTAGTATGAAAAAATCAATAGCCCTACTCTCCACTTATTGTTAGACACATGTTAGAAATTTGCATACAAACAATGATGGGTTGAAACTCCAGGATCCAAAAGAAAAAGCTTAGACTTTTGTAGAAGAATGCTATTATTTTGGGATCGAAATATTAGCATACTGGTTTTTGTTTACAAATGTTAAGATGAATTTTAAGATACTGCATGAAAAAAGTTGAAACAGCAGGATGTATTAGAAACAGCAAAAAATCCAACAGGCAGAATGTGGGATTTGTCACACTTAGAAAGAAAAACAGCCACTGCTGATATTTTCATTTGGTGTTTTTATTCATTTATTTTTGTTTTTAAATTTTTATTTACTTTTTTGGCACATTAAGATTTGTTAAAAAAAAAAAACATATAAAAAACAATAAAAAAACAAGTAAAATACGCTGACACTTCCAACAATTTTCCAAGGATTGCCTAGAAATATTGGACTGAAACATCAAAATGCAGTAAAAAAGGCAAACCCATTGACCTATACACAGAATGAGAGAACTACATAATATTTGGGTTCATATTCAGTCAATTTAATCTGAATTTTACCTGGGAAATTGCATGAAAAATGACTGAAACACCAAAATGTATATTTGATTACAAAAGGTGCTAAAATCGTACTTTTGGTGGATACCTTATTGTATTCAGTAATATAGCATTTGCTTAGATCTTACTTTAAATAGCTACTATTAACTCCTACAACTGTCTGAGTTGTTTTCTTGCTCACAGACATAAGAAAAATACAGATTTTGCTAGCATGCACTTCATCACAACATTTTATCTGCATCCACTAAACCACAAGTCATTTATTACATTCAGTAATGAGCCACAGTGTGTTCCCCAATGGTAACAGATTGTGTTTGGAAATAAAAAAAAACACACATTTTTCTTAAGCTTATGTGGTAATGCTATTTCATTCATAATCTTTTAGCGATAATCAGATTTTTTAGAGTCTGTGAGAATAGCAGAGAGCAGACGTTGGTATTGGTGGTAACTGTAGTTAATTCACAGCGTGATTTCAAAAACACCCTGAAGGGGGTCTGATTCTCTGGGGTCTAGTGAGCTTAGCCTTTCTTCACTTCAAAAGTCCAACAACATCATCCTTTGAATAAATATACATCATGTCCCCTCTCTCTTTCTCTCTCTCTCTTTCTCTCTCTCTCTCTAAAGTTTTGTCTCTAAACTAGTGCCTGAAAGAGACCGAAGAGAAGTTCCATTTGTAAAATATGTCAATCTATAGTCGATTCTTAACGGTTTATAATAGTGATTTTTGATTTTCGTCATGTCTCAAAACTTTTTTGCCATAATGAAGAGATTTAAAAAAGAAAAACTTTTAATAACCGGTACATAAGTGAGCTATACCATCGTTTTGTCAGTTTAGTGGCTAATTAGTACGAATTCGATTGTACAAAAATGTACAGTTTTAAAAAGGAGGCGTGACACCCCGCCCCTAAATCCAACCATCATTGGGAGATAAGCAAATCGTAGTAAATTGTATGAATGAGATCGTACAATTCATACGAATTAGCGTCTAAATCAAAAAGTTATGAATTCATGTAAGATTAAGTTGGATATACAGTATGATGGATTTACACTATTCAAAAGCCATACTGTTTGATTCTTCGCAGGTGCTTTTTTAATAGAGAGAATACATTTTTCACATTTATAAAATAATACTAGTTTTAATAACTAATTTCTAATGACAAGTTTTTTTGTATTTGTCTTGTTGAAAGTACATAATATTTTACTTGTTATTTTGCAAGATCTTAGTATTCAAGTGCAATTTAAAGGCTTAACTACACTGTTAGACCTTACCGGGCTTTTTGAATACTACTAGTCACTGTAATGGTTTGGTAACAGTAAGTAACTGGCAAAAATTGACTTTAATGAAAGTAATTGAAGAAGTCGTGAGAAGATGCTAACTAGCTTACAATGTAGCTTTTAAATACAGAGTTCAAAATTACAACCATTTTACTTAATACACAGTCTTATTTTAGAAACCTTAAAAAATATTTGAACACATTCAGAAACACATTTACTGAAAGCATGTGCGGTATTATTGAGTTATTATTTTGATTTCCAGCTGTTGCGCTGTAGCATCATGTCAAGCAGTGACCCGAAGAGAATTGAATTGAGCTCCAGCAGACGCCCTGCTCTCCTCTAGAGCCTGTTCATCCCAGGGGAAACATGGCACTTTCACTAAGGCTGTAAACAGCACTCACTCCTTTGAGCAACAGTTTTTGTGTGCTGCTGTACAGGTGTTGCAGCCCTGCTCCAATGGAGATTTCAGGCCTTTCGGTTTGGTTGCAGAGACAAGATTTTCATTGACTGAGCAGTACTAGAATCCATTAGATACAGAGTAGTCGGAAGCCAAAGACTTATCACATAGTACATGCTTAGATGCATTTTAATAGTAAGGTATTTTATGTAAAATGGTCCAAAAATTACAAAGTTTATTTTGCTAGGGCATATTGTTATTATTTAGATAATTGACTAATGATCTTGCTAGCTACACCTCTCTTAGCATTTGTTTGCTATGAGGGAATGATGTGCAAAAAGAAAGCCTTCTACTCATTGTCAGTTTTAGTCGGAAGTTTATCAACATACTGAAATAAAAAAAAGTCTCTATACAATTCAGGCCGACTTTAAACTCAGTATGAAGTATAAAATATATATAAACTATATATGATTTTAGATTAAGGAATTTACTGTAGGGACATGTCTATAGTTTCCTTTTTTGATAAATAATAAAAATAAAAAAATTCTTGAAATTGTGAGTTTCAAAACGAAATGGCAAGAAACAAAATGCAACATGTTTACACAACATGTAAACTGGAACATATTTTTTTCTTAGGAGTTTTGAAACATAAAGTGGCAATAACATGTTATAAAGTCAGAGATATGGTATTTAAATTGTTTATATCTCACAATTTTGAGAATGAAGTCAGAACTGTGAGTATTAAAATCAGAAATGCATGTTTATTTTTATGATTTAAAATATATGAATGAATGTTCAACCATAATCTAAACTACTAGGTTTTAAAATATATATAAAAAATAGTAATAAATAAATTTATTCACTTTTTTATTTAAAAATGTACCATTCACAATAAGTATTTCAATATTTATTTGTTATTTATTTTATTTTATTTACTTTTTAAAGTGTTAGCTAAAAATTATGGTGATAAATGTTCACTAAGTTTGTAATATTATTATTATTATGATTATTATTGTTGTTATTATTATTATTAATTAATTTATTTATTTATTTTAATTATTTTATTTAAATACAGACACAATATTATTTATATAAATTTTATATTTTAAATTTTATATATATTATAAATAAATAAACAAGCAAGCACGATTTACTTGATGAACATATCCAAGTCATGGTGCAGGAAGTCCTTAAATGGTGATAGAAGCAGATGTTGCTCAGTTCTGGAAACAATGTTGTCCCCAAAGTATTGTTAAGTAAAAAAACACCTAATGGAAAACTGTTGCCTCACTTATTGCCTGAGAAGCTGCTGAACAACACACAAGCCACAACATCTTCATTGTAAAAGTTGCCATCGTCACGATGGCACATCTTACATTCTTAACTCTGGATTGTTGACAGATAACTATTACGGCACACCAAAGCCCCCGGCGGAGCCCAGTCCACTGCTGCTGAATGTAGCAGAGCAGCTGCTGCCCGGAGCAACACCCACATCACAGGGCAAACGCAGGCGCAACAAGTCCGTCAGCAACATGGAGAAGGCTGGCATTGAGCCTCCCGAGGAGGAGGAGGAGGAGAGACCCGTCATTAACGGCAATGGAGTCGCCATCACACCAGGTGAGGAGATAAACACTGCTCTATCATACCTGTACATGCACTATTTTGGGCTTTTTGATTGGTCATAGAAGCGAATACACTTCATTCTACAATGCATTTTGTGGAGTCCATGTAAAATCAAAATTTGCTGGCAAGCATTGTTATTCTTTAGTCAGTGCAAGTTAATCATCTTGAAAAAAAAAGTTTGCTTTGGTAATTTTCAATCAAAATTTACCATTTGCGTCCATGTTTGGAGTACCGGTCCTTCTCTGATGATGTCAGTTTAATGGCTTCAGCTACAATATTCCTAATCACACCCCTCTTACTGTTTGTTTGCTACGAGGGGATGATGCACAAAAAGAAAGCCCCGCCCCCACTCAATATTCTGTTTCAGTTGGAAGTACATCAACATACTGAAATAAATGTCTCAGCAACTTCTGGTAGACATGGACTTTAAGTATTTGTTTTAGTGGACTTTTTCAATTTGTGTGTGTAGATTTCAACTTCAGTGCATAATTTTAAAGGCTTAAAATGAGTGTTTTTCTCCTGCATTGAGCTATTAATCTACTTCAGCACCACCATATCTGTATGTTGAAGGTTTTACTGATAAGGCTTTTAATGATATACAGCTTTTTAGTACACCAATTTTCTTGCTGTTTGTAATGTTATAGATAATTTTTAAAAATGTTATAAAAAGAGATTCCCAAAATCTCCACTGTAAAAACTTTTCACTCTGATATGTTAGAAAGCTAAATATTTTTGGGCTAGATTTGTATGTAAATAAGCATAAATATCATAAATCAGCTTGTCTTTTGCACTTTTAAATCTTGATATCTTATTATACAAAAGTTTTTGCAGTTTATAACTCTATACAGTATATATGACACTCATTGAAATTCTTGTAGGAAAAATTGTATTTCTGGGTTATTAAGGGGTTTATTAAGACTATATATATAGAGATATATTGTAATTTTCCTCAGTGAAGTTACCATGCATGTTGTACATGCAACAGGATATGGTTCTTCACCTAATAAAGGGTTAATGCAATCAATAAACCAGAAAATTATGATGATAAAAAAATTTTAAGATTGTATTATTATTATTTATTTGTTTATCTATTTTTATTTATTTATTTATTTATTTATTTTTATTATTCACCTGCAGCGGGTTGCCTCAATCAGTTGAGGAAAAATAAGATTTTGTCACATTTGCTAGTAAATTTAGTTTACTCTGACCTCAGATCAGGGTTACTGGCATAGTGATGATTACCATGAGGCCATTCCTGGTATCATAGCCTGTATCATCATGTATCATAACAACCACATCCTAGTAACCCCATAGTCAAACAAAAATATTTATTTTCAAATGTGTTTTAAAATATAAAAAAATAGCGCACACCCCCCATACAATACACACACACACACAAACACACACACACACACACACACTATATATATATATATTCTAGACTGGCACTATACTGGAAAAAAAATCACACACACAACTATATATATATTTTTTCAAGACACTTCTATACAGCTCAAAGTGACATGTAAAGGGCTTAACTAGGTTAATTAGGTTAACTAGGCAGGTTAGGGTAAGTAGGCAAGTTATTGTATAGGGATGGTTTGTTCTGTAGACGGTCGAATAAAATATAGCTTAAAGAAACTAATACTTTGGACCCTAAAATAAGTTTTGTAAATTAAAAACTTAAATAAAACAATAAGGCTTTCTCCAGAAGAAACAATATTATCAGACATACTGAAAATAATGAAAATTTCCTTGCTCCGTTAAACATCATTTGGCAAATATTTAAAAAGAAATATATACAGTATATTTATATAATGTTTATGGTGCTTTAAATAATGCTTATACTAAACTGGAAAAATCAATCACGTGTATTTATATAGCTGTACATAATTTGTGCTTATATAGTGTATTTATTTATTTATTTTTGCTTACTTTACATTTCTAATTAAATTTTTATATAATATTGGACATTTATTTTTCTTGACCTTGAAAAACATTTTGAATTATATTTCGGTATATGAAGGTTGAAATGTAATATATTTTCAATTTTAAAATAAATATTTTACAAAATATGTTGCACTTACAAAATATATTTCATATTTATTTATAATATATTTTTTTTAGGCAGAAAAAGTCTTTTTACCTTATGGAACCACTGTTGTCAGGGCAACTGTCGCGCCAGCATGTTATCACACATTGCTTGTTTTTCACTCCACAACAGCAGTTCTGTGGGGTGAAACCGTGCATCAAGTCTGGATGTACTGAAAAAGCCTTTTGTTTTGTGCTGGCTTTATTACAGCAGCATGACATGGTGATTTAGAATCTAACACAGCGAGAGCATTGCTGACATCCTGCAATATAAGGAATAGCCAAGGGAAACTGTATTGCTTACAGCTCTTTTATAGATCACTGCACTTAAATTCAACATGAAATCTGAATTGACCCTATTAGTTTCCTTAATGCAAGTTCTGGGTCTTATTGGGCATGATTCATCAGGCCATGTTATTCGAAAGGGAAAAATCTTTTATTAGAATGTGCTTCAAAAAGGGATATGGGTATAGACTGAAAATAAGGTCTATTAACCTCAAAGTCTTGCATCTTGTAAACAAAGTAGTTATATTATGATAATAGTGAATATAATGAAGTTTAATGTAATAATGGGGAAAAATTTAAATTTTAGGTTAGGAAAATTAAATTCTGTCATGATTGCATTGTAAAATATGTTAAAACCTATTTAAATACATCTTGTATCAGGAATCCATTCAGCTTTCAATTTTGATTTGATGATTCAAATGTAATGAATTAAGTCATTTAATCAAATTCACAGTTTTAACATTTAACAACGTTTTATTCAATATAAATACACATAGACAAGTAGAAACCACACCTCTAGCTTCTCCATGATGGAAGCCCAGCATTCTCCAGCCTCCGGCACCTAGTCTGCACAACTGAGCCTGGCTTCTCTCAAGGTTTTTTATTTCGCTTTCGTCAATTGGTGAAGTTTGTTCCTTGCCACTAGCTTGTTTGGTTTGGACGGAGCTGCGCATCGATGGATTTGTTCTTCAGTGTTTGTACTTTCAGCAGAGAAAATTAAACCACACTGAACTGAACTAAACTGAACCTCAACTCTGAAAACTAAACTGACAGTTTCAATTTACTAGAACTTCTATGTTAAGCTGCTTTGACACAATCTACACTTTAAAAGGGCTATAGATAATAATGAATGGAACTGAATTGAATAGAAATAGAGCACACCAAATATACAGTAGAAAATGACAGTAGTGCAGTTGGAAAAAAGTTACAGTTTTGTGAACCATATCTAAATCTAACAGTTATTTTTAAAAAATACTTATTTAACCTTCAAGAACAAGCAATGGTTAAATCTGAACATATTTTTCTCTGGTCAGCTACTTATTTATTCCTAGTCAAAATTAGTGATAGTGCAGTTGTAAAGCAATATTTTGACAAATATATATAAAATAATTAAAGTAAAAAATTAATACACACTCACGCCTTCTAAGATGTGGGTGCCTTTTTTTTAATATTAAAAAGAGTTTTAACTGAAACGATCAAAAACCTACACACATATACTACAAGCAAAACTAACTTATTACCTATGACCCCTGGTGATACAGTGCTGATACACCTTTGGAACCAAAATGATCCGTCTGTGCAAGGAAATGTACATTATTTACAACATTTTAGAGTTCTATTGCATAAAATGACAAGTCACTGCCTTTTGAATGAATTAACAGTTGTTGTTTTTTTGTGAACCATATCTAAATATATTGCAAAAGTGTTTCACTTATACAGTTAAAGTCAGACTAATTAAAAAATAAACAGGGGGGCTAATAATTCTGACTTCAACTGTAAATACACCACATTATGGACAGAAAATGGGTTTAGTGGGTTTAAACTCTTAGCCAACACTACAGTTGAAGTCAAAATTATTAGCCCCCTTTGGATTTTTTTTCTTTTTTAAATATTTCCCAAATTATGTTTAACAGCAAGGACATTTTCACTTTATGTCTCATCATATTTTTTCTTCTGGAGAAAGTCTTATTTGTTTTATTTTGGCTAGACTGAAGGCAGTTTTATATTTTATAAAAAATGTTTTAAGGTAAAAATTATTAGCCCCATTAAGCTATATTTTTTTCGATAGTCTTCAGAATAAACCATCGTTATAGAATAACTTGCTTAATTACTCTAACCTGCCCAGTTAACATTATTAACCTAGTTAAGCCTTTAAATGTCACTTTAAGCTGTATAGAAGTGTCTTGAAAAGACGCTTCCCATTCACATTGTGATGTCAATCGTTCCCGAACTGAATTGTGGATCTAAATACTTTAGCTCAGACAGTAGCCGATTGGGGACTTGTTTTGTTGGCTGATGCTGCTATGATGATCGCGTCAGCCCCAACTTCAGAGACACCCCTCGTCAAGCATTGACGCTGATGCCCTGTGAGAATCACGCGTTAACGATTTATATGATTTATATATGAGATTAGAATATGTGCAGTTTAAATTAATTTAAATTAATATGGAAAACAAGTGCATTTTTTTTTTACCAAAACTAGCCTAATATTTTATTATTTTAAAGAAATGCATGGGCGTGTAAAACAATATAATTTGCACAATAAAAGGGTGGGGTTTTTCTCTAAACAAGTTGTTACTCCAACCCGTTTTGAGCCTTATTTTGAATGTTTTAAGTTATATTTGAGGTGGTTTAAATGATGGATCTGCTACAAAGCAATTACAGTTTTGGGAAACACTCATCATTATATCATTCTTTTTCCAACCGATGCATTTGTACTATGGTTGTTCAATCATGAGTTACATTGTTGTTTAAGGAAACGCACCCCAGGTTAGATTTATGGATAGAGTTGTGGAATGGTGGCAAATTATACAGTTTGTGAAAAAAAAAATTGAATTAAATTGAAATTAGTACAAAAATCATGCATAAAATTATGTCTATGGGAAATCCCCAAAAATATATTTGTACAAGTGTGTGTGTTTGTGTGTTTGTATGTCTATGTTTATTAAAACATCAGTAGTGCTGAATGTTATGGGATTCAGTGTCTTTCTCTTTCGTCTCTCTCTCTTTTTCCCTCCATCAGTCTTTTGCTCCTCTCCTTGGGGATCTCCAACCTCCATAACTCAAACTAGGACACGTTCGTCTCTCTTTATTTTATTTCCCCCCTCTTCTTCTCTCTGGATTTCTCACCGCAGACTCCATTTTAATCACCCAAGTCTTACTGAACCGTCTCAGTCCAGCTAACCATCTCCATATCTGTCTGTTCTTCTATCATTTCTTACAATCTTTCTCTCTTACAATTCTTCTTCCTGCATGGCCCTCTTACAGTGACCTGCTTTTCAATTCTTTCAGAAACTCCAAATCTCAGTTACATCTCCCTCTCTTATAAATATTTTCTCTGTCTGGCTCACTCACACTCACCGGTTTTCTCTGTAGTCTCAGACTATGAGAGTCTACCAGAAAATTGCACTAGGTTCTTGTGAAAATTGACCGCTTCTTATAAGCATAGCTCTTCTTGGGGATTTTTCTGTTGAGTTTTTGTTACGCCATTCATCTTCTTTTTATCTGTTTCGAATGCCTGGTTCTTTTTTAAATGATGGATGTTTGAATTGGGATGTAAGTCTGCCGTTGCTCTTGTTAAAAGAGCAACAACATTTTGTTTATACAGTCTTGCAAATAATCCTAAAGCACATTTACTGTATTTAGATGTTTTTCGTTTAAAGTGTGAACAGTTTCATGGTTAATCCTAAAGTACATTTACTGTTTTTAGATGTTTCATTTAGAGGACGCTGAAAGTTTAGGTATATATCAACACAGACTCATTGGGAATACATGTTAAGGGCTACATTTTTGGGGAACTGCAAATATGTGCCTCTTTTCTGGATAATACAAACACTACAGGGTGATATGACACCGTCTACTTTTATTTAAAAATGAATCATTTAAAAGAACAAGTTATCAATGGATAAAGAATAGTTTTTGCTTGGTTCTTTACGCATCTTGATCCATAACGGAATGCGTTCACGTCAGCCGCTGTCAGTTTTAGGGGCTTTTACCAAACGGTCAGTTTGCTCAGTAGCTCGCCTTGTATGATGTTGTAATTTGGACTGGGATCAAGTTACTGGACGGTTACAGAAACCAGTTAAAAACAAAAAAGCTATGTGAAATCATAATAAAAGTATGCGCCTGTGATGCTTTTCTCTTCTTGTTTGGGGTGGGTTTAGGGAAGGGGTGTGTATTTAAGTCGATCATAAGGCTATTAATGCACAAAAATACAGCTGGTTCTCGCAGATGCACACAAGAAGGACATGCAAATCGCATGCATGAGAAATGTGGCTCTGTAACATTTGAGATTGGCAGAAATGTAAACACTGGCCTTTAGTGGATTTGGCAACAAGAGCTGCAAGCAGACGCCATTGGAGGCACATATTTCATGGTTTGCAAAAATGCAGCCCTTTGCAGGTATTCCCATTGAAACTGGGTATTGTACATGGGTATTTGACAAATAGACAGTTAAAAATGTTTTTAGAAAGAATTTTTTGGGAAGGAAAAATGTATATGGTATGTTTATGGAGTTTGAAGTATGATGTTTGTGAAAATACAAAAGGTTTATCAAATCACCTTTGGTGCTTCCTATGGTGTGACATGGCAAAAATGTACTCTTAATATTATACAAATATTGTGAGAGTGATTTATCTTAATTATTGGATGCTTATCTTCATATAGTGCTGTTTATTGTATATGAAATTGTATTTGAAAGTTTTTTTTATTATTTCTATGTTCCTATGATTGCATTTACTAAATAGACACTTAAATTATAGCCATGAGGTATTTATTAAGGATTTAAGGGTTTTCTTTTTTTATTTATAAGAGCTGTAATTTATTGAACTATTATTGAGACAGTCACATCATATCACATCATTTAAGATTAAGCTCAAAAATGTATTATACATTTTTGTCATGTTTGACAGTGAAAATACAACGTAAAGTCTACAGCCCATATACATGTACAAATGGCTTCTATTAAAAGCATTTTTTTCCTAAATTTTATTCCATTTTTTAGAGTCAAGTGAACATGAAGACAAGAGTACAGACGCCTCAGGAGAGATGGCTACCACATGCCCCTCCGAGACCTCCACAGATGCCCCTAAAGAAGATACAGAACCACCAAAATCGCCACCCAAACCAGATGAAAACGATGAACTGGGTCCTCTGCCAGATAACTGGGAGATGGCATACACTGAGAAAGGAGAAGTGTACTTTATAGAGTGAGTATATATATATTATTTCACATTATTGAACACTTTTCATGCTTTTGTTGCATACATTTCTATAGATTAAATATATAAATGAACTACAAATAATGTAGACATGGATTCATTTTCTCAGAAGAGAGAAGTTGTATGTCCCAGCGTGCGTATTCTATTCTATTCTATTCTATTCTATTCTATTCTATTCTATTCTATTCTATTCTATTCTATTCTATTCTATTCTATTCTATTCTATTCTTCTACTCTATGCTGTTTGTTTGTAAAAAAAAAAGCACTTATAATGTGTTAACACTAAAGTTTCTAAAGAAAAGTGCACTTCAAATATGGATGACAAACGTATTTAATGGAAAAAAAACATTTGCCTGAAAAAACACACATAATACAAAAAAGCACATAATACATTATTTTAATTAGTTTTTGCAGTTCTACTGTATGTGAACGAGAGTCATTTCGGCTGTCAAAACACATAAACATAATGTATAGTGTCTTATCAGATACAAATAAAGATCAGCCGTTGTGTACGAAACAATCACACTGCTGCTGTAACTAGTTTTCTTTCATTTAATAAGGGAAAAGGCTGCATTATAAATGTTGTTTTTTTTTCTGTGAAAATATTAAAACCTGTTGCGAGATTTACAATGCTAATAACTGTGGAAAGACATCATTATCATCACACTGTGTGAAAAAGGCTGCTTACAGTTCGAGTTTGAGTTATAGATTATAATTAGCTTTATTTAAAGGTGCATTCAGAGTTTTTCCCATTAAAAAATTACTTTTAAAAATTACTTTTTAAAATTACTTTTAAAAAGTAATTTTTGGAAAAATGTGTAAAAACACTCCCATGGAATGAGAAAACAACCATTAAGAAGCCAGTCATAACATTTAGCTAATGCAAGTTTATTATTGTTATCATTATTTATTTTTATTTTTTATGGACAATATGCCATTTTGGGTGCTGGCATATTGAGATCTCAATAACACAAAGAATACATATCCATGGTTAACTGTACTTACAGTAATACTGTGGCATCCGTTAGTGACTTTTCCTTCTAATGAAGGAAATGGAATGAAGGAATTCCAAGTAAACCTAAATTTACTACAGTAAGTGCATTTTTAAGTCTAGAGAAGAGAGTCTGTGTGTGTGTGTGTGTTGCATAGATTTTACCGGTCATTATTGAGTCTTTTTCTTCATGTGAGATAAAATTGGTCAATTAAAGGAGGCAAAAAGCCAACATATTCATTTTAAATGAGTAGTCCAATGTTCTTTCTAATTTCAGATAATGTACAAACCTGATTCTAAAAAAATTGGGACACTGTAAATTTTGATAGTAAATGATATGGAAGGTCCTCATTTTAATATTTTATTCAATATAGAACATAGATGACATGTCAAATGTCTAAACTACATCTTCCTCTTTATGATGTACCAATGTTTTCTATTTGTGAAAGATCTGGACTGCAGGTCTGGCCATTTCAGTACCTGGATCCGTCCTCTATGCTTCCATGATGTTATAATTGATGCAGTAAATGGTCTGGCATTGTCATGTTGGAAAATACAAGGACTTCTCTGAAAGAGACGAGATCTGGATGGGAGCATATGTTGTTCTAGAACTTGTATATACCGTTCAGCATTGATGGTGTCTTTCTAGATGTGTAAGCTGCCCATGCCAAACGCACTCATGCAACCCTATTCCATCAGAGATGCAGGCTTCTGAACCGGGGGCTGATAACAATTCGGGTTGTCCCTGTCCTTTTTAGTCCGGATGACATGGTGTTACAGTTTTCCCAAAATGAATTTGTCTGACCACAGAACAGTTTTCCACTTTGCCACAGACTATTTTAAATGAGCATTGGCCCAGAGCAAACACCTGCGCTTCTGGATCATGTTTAAATATGGCTTCTTTTTTGACCTATAGACTTTTAGCCGGCAGCAGCGAATGGCATGGTGGATTGTTTTCACCGACAATATTGTCTTGAAGTAGTCCTGAGCCTATATTGTGATTTCCATTAGAGTAGCATTCCTGTTTGTGATTCAGTGCCTTCTAAGGGCCTGAAGATCCAGTTTGGTTTTATGGCCTTAACTTTTACACACAGAGGTTGTTGCAGATTCTCTGAATCTTTGGAAGAAATTTTGCACTGTGTAGATGGTGATAACTTCTAACCCTTTGCAATTGTTTGCTGAGAAACTCCTTTCTGATATTGCTCCACTATTTTTTGGCACAGCATTGGGGATATTTGTGATCCTCTGCCCGTCTTGACCCCTCTTGGCACTGCTCTTCTTATACCCAATCATGTTGCAAATTGACCTTATAAGTGGAAAATTGGTCCTCCAGCTGTTATATGTGCATTTGACTTTTCTAGCCTCTTATTGCTACCTGTCCCAAATGTTTAGCTGTTTTGAAATCCAAAAGGAGCCAATATTTGGCCTGGAATTTTAAAATGTCTCTCTGTCAGCATTTGATATGTTATCTATATTATATTGTAAATAAAATATAAGTTTAGAAGATTTGCTAATTATTGCATTCCTTTTTAATTACAATTTATACAATGTCCCAACTTTTATTTGGAATCAGGTTTGTATGTGTGGTGGACTAATTTAAAACCTGAATCACCTAAATAAATCAAGGCAGCCAACACCACAGCAATCCACAACCTGAATTGTCTCTTTTAAATGCTGAAAATCTACTTGACAGCACTGCGCATTTCTGGAGATATGCCCAGTTATAGCATTTATCATTTGATCTTCATTTCATAAATCACAGCTGTCATGATCTATAACAGATATTCACAAGCATCTCCATTCAACACCCCAGTCTGTTTACTACATTTTGTAATAGTGCCAATGTATATTCCCACTGGCCATAAAGGGGCGCCCATTCAACTGCTTGTTAATGCAAATATCTTATCAGCCAGTTTGCACTGCATCACCTCATTGCATGTGAATAAGACTGAGAAAGAATGGTGAAAGGGATTGTTCACCCCAAGATGAAAATGTCTTCACCTTTTACTTGCAATCAAGTGCTTCTGTTGAACACAAAACAAGATATTCTGAAGAATGTTGGGAAAAAACAGCCATTGGCATATATAGTAAGAATAAAATGGAAGCCAATGGTTGATTTTTTTAACATACTTTAAATTATCTTCCCTTATGTCCAACAGAAGAAAGAAGCTCAACAGGCTTGGAATAAGTGGGAGATGAATACTATATATAATGACAGAATTTTTATTTTGGGGTGAAAAAATATCTCTTTAAGGGACTTGGGACTTTGTGACATGGTTCTTAATGTCAGAAGGGGTTTATAGTTAATAATTAAAAAAAGAGAGAGTAAATATCCAGAAAGTAGCAATTCTGTGTGGAGAAATTTTGATGTCTGAAGAGAATAATTAGATGGAAAGGCAACAAAAACCATGTGATTATTGTAGTATTACACTTATAAATCAGTTTTTATTTTGATACTACTTTTTAAATTTTACTGTATCGTTTTAATTTTTATTTTGTAAACACATAGCCCAGGGATCAAGGCTTTTGCCAAACAAGCTTATTACCAATCATCAAGTGTGAACTCTTGAATTATATTTTACCAGAGTTACCAGAACATGACCGGTGTGGACCAGAGCAAAGTTTAGTGTTTGCACAGCTAAGTTTAACTCATGTGCAAAATGTGGTGTTTCATGAGCACTCTCCTTAGGTGTAATGCATTTTATACTGCAAAAACTCCATATTGTATGTTTCTACCCTTAAACCCAACCAAATTTTAAATGTGACGTATGTTAAGTTGGGAATGTTAGGTAATTTAATAAAGTATGATTAAATTACAAGGACACATACACCACCATTACAATGTTGGCCATGCCCATGTCATTATACAAATTTCTGTCTTTGTAAATCACTAAAACCAGCACACACACACACACACACGCACATACAATTTCGCATATGCTATGTCATCTTGTACACAAAATTGTGTGTGTGTGTGTTCAGTTCTCAAAGTGTGACTCCACAGCTCTGTTTTTTCTACAGGGACAGTAGTTATTTTCTGGTGTATCGAAGCTGTATGTGAGTGACTCCGAATGATGCGAGGACAGTCTGTCACTGCTTCATGTAACACACACACATACAGTTTGCACTAGCCCACACAGTGTGACTATTGGGGATTTAATGGAGTTGTCAAGCAGCCAATGGCGCCTTGTTTTTCTCGATCTCCCTCACAGACGGAGCGTCTTTAATTCTCAAACTGTAGACACTTCTCCATATGTCTGTTTCTCACCATGAACACGAGCGCACACACAAATGCACTCAGTCATACTGGACCAGATTAATCACGACAAAGCGTTTTTCTTTTTTTTTTTTACATGCATTTAGTCACATTTAAACTCCCAAAGCCACTGAACATAAGCTGCGGAAGTGCATCATGCCAATAGAGCGTCCTTTAATATGGTTTTATATTAAATACATTTTCTTTTCTGTAAGAGGCAGATGAAACAGCAAGAGTCGCTAGGGAGGATGACACAAACTAAAAGACAGAGACGCGGGGCAGAAGTGTGTGGAGTGTCATAGATAGCAAGCACATCAAAGGTGCACCATCTTTTCGCCCCTGGCTGCAATTTCTCTGGCCAGTCGCTTGGCATGGAGCCGTCAGTTGAGTCCCATTACAGAGACAGTGGAGCCTACATTTCTCCCACTGATCTCAGAGCTTTCTCAGAGTTTTCTTTTATTTTTCTTCTTTTTTTTCAGCAGCTTTAGATAAAAAATGTGCCTCAGGGAGGAAGACACTACGCCTCAAAACATTTATTTTCTATTTTTCCATTTGTTTATTTGATGTATTTCTTTCTTTCTTTCTTTCTTTCTTTCTTTCTTTCTTTCTTTCTTTCTTTCTTTCTGTCTTTCTGTCTTTCTTTCTTATTTATTTATTATTTATTTATGCTTTTTGTTTTGTTTTTACCTTAATTTTTTTTTTCTTTTTTTACATTTAAGGCAAAGTTTTTAAGATTTTAGCATTAAAATATTTAAAAATGATTGTGCAATACTTCTATTATTACCCGTAGATGCTGGATTCATGCCGTTAGGAAATGTGGATGTTGAGTGCCACTCATGTTTGCTGTCAATGTTTGTGGAATCTATTGCCAAAATAACTTAATGAAGCAAAAAATATACAGGTAATTCAAATGGACAAAGACAATTTTGTTACAAGATGTGTGAAAAAGCAAGGATTGGTATTGACATTTTCAAAATAAAGATCATAACAAGCTTGTATTTTTTTTATAGTTACATAGAATGTTAGGTTAACTTTAACTAAGACAAACTTTGCATTTTTACCTCTCAGACAGCATTCATTCATAACATTCATAACAACCAAAAGGCAAGGTAAGCGGCCACTTAGGGCCCCAGGACATTTAAGGGCCCCCAAATAAATACCTAGAAGTATAAATTACATCTATAAATTTTAAAAAACATAATTTTCTATCATATTTTGTATGATGAGGGTCTAAAAAAAAAAAAGTTTAACATTTATTACACATGCACAAATGTGTCCCCGCCCTAAATCATGGAGGAATTCAGCAGTCAAATCAGGATTAAAAATATAGTTTTATAGTATAGTAAAAATAAAGTATAGTTTTAAAAAACTAATAGTTTAGATATCATTTTTAGTTGTTCATTTTAAGAAAACAAATACAAATCCTTTACATGTTGTTATTATTATTTTGCATTAAGACAAAATGTAGAAATAAAAACAGATAAATAAATTGTTTAAAAATAAAATAAAATGTAAAAGGTGCATTTTAGGACTTTTGGGCCTCAAGGCTGGAATTGATTAGGGCCCCCAAATCACTAAATCTGCTGATGAGAACAACTTTATAGAACTTACTTTGTTATCTTGAAATCCAGCATGTATCAAAATCTCGCACCCACATTGACATTTAGAGTACTATACAAATCCACACTACTTCTTATGCTAATGTTAATAGTGGTTTACCTGAAACAAAAAGAAAAAAAAAAAAATGTTTCCATAGTTATTGCTCAGTAAATGTGGACATTTCTGGACTGCGTACACTTGAGAATCAGCTCAACATAATTGTACCAAATGAATGTAAAGGTAATTACCATAATTGACTGATTAACAAGATGTTCATATTTTATGAAACACAGAGAAGGGTTGAATCAACATTCTCTTTCTCTCTCACACACACACATTTGCGTCATCAAGTTGCTGTAGTGACTCTCATTTAGATTGCCGTCATTAGAGGACTATGACTCAACATTTCAGATGCTGTCAAAACTTTATGGAAGGCTAAGACAAATTTTTGAATGCAATTAATTAGCTGTTTATGAGCATGTAAGGCACCAAATTCTGCCAACTACTATTTATTTATTTGTTTATTATTGGATTGGTCTCAAACCCAAATTGGAAAAAGAAAAAGAAACACTTTATGCGTGCCAAACTTTTATTTCCACTCAGGTTAAATGTTCCTCGCTCATAGAGTGAGTCAATCACATCTTCCTCAGCGCGTCTCTCCTCCTCCTCCTCTTTCATGCTGTGCTAATGAGAAGCTTACAGCTAATTAAAAGTATCGATTGCCGTTTTGTTAAGCTAAACTTTTTTCTCACCCTCGTTTAGAGATGAGATCTCCGGAGACTTCCTTTCAGTCTCTCTTGTCTCCTCTGCTTGATGATTTACAGTAGCAGTTTGCTGCACTCTCATCTCTCTCTCTTGCTTCTTCTTAATCTCTTTTCTCTTTCTGCTTCATTTCTCTTCTCTCCAGCCACAATACGAAGACAACATCCTGGTTGGACCCCCGGCTCGCAAAGAAAGCAAAGCCCCCCGAAGAATGCAAGGAAAATGGTTAGTGCTTATCTTTCATTTCTGTTTATTATGTTTCGACTCTGTTTGCTTTACTTTTCAAACTGGTCCAGAGGCTGTGTTTTAGTGATTTCCACCATAGAAGTCGTATTAAGCAAGATGTGGAGGGGAAATGGCTTATTGCTTTTGGAAAGTCTTTTGTGATAAAAGACCAATGTTCCTCAGAGTTCATTAGCTTAACTGCAGGACCTTAATAGCAGCTAAGCAAAGTAACAATCAGATATCTTGTTTTATGATTTGAATGGGACAATCGGGAACTAATGTACAGTAAAGAGTATATCAATATGTTGCTTTCATTCACTTCATTCTTAAGTTAAGCGTGACTAATGGTATTGCTCATACTGTAGGTGCAACTGTTCGAAGAGAAATGCGCTATTGGTTTTTTAAGTAGTTGGACAGTTTTCTTTGATAGACAATAAAACAGGTCACACAAAATCATTGAGGAGCAAAAGCAGCAAACACTGTTCAGCGGAGAGCAGTTTAGCTCAACCCTAATCAAATGGTAAGGTCTGGAAGGTAAGCCCCTCAGGAAGTTTAAAGCTGTTGTTGTAGAAACTTGGGGTTACATTTCGTGCTGTGCTCTGGTGAACTGTCACCTGTCAACCATCTAGAACTAATCACAGTTGCCCTAGCCAACACCCAGAACACAATGAAAAGCAGTTAGCAATGTTCTAGACACCAATCTCAAGTTGCAGACAACCACTTATCTACTTTATAGTGTAGCAGTCACTCAGACCACACTAGTAAACACTTGAAAGTACATTAGTAACCCTTACCACTCATTTAGTTCTTGCTCAAAGGACTCAAGGGTATTGATTATGGAAAAAATTCCTGGTTATTAATTTCTTCCATCTACAATCCATGCCAGAGCCAGGATTTAAACCTCTGACCTTTGGATCACAAGTCCAACTGTTTTACCTTGGCTCCCCTGAGCCGTTGAGCCGTTGCATAACTTTGGTACAGAAGTGACAAGCTTTGCTTGAATCAGCATTAGTTTAGCACGTGGTTCTCAACCGCTACAGAATTTAGCTCCAACCCTAATCAAACACTAGACAAGCTAATCAATTGAGTTTGAACAGGGCTGGAGCTAAACTCATGAATTTACTTCTAACCTGCTCCAAACATTAATTCATTCATTCATTCGTTTTCTTGTCGGCTTAGTTCCTTTATTAATCCAGGGTCGGCACAGTGGAATGAACCGCCAACTAATCCAGCACGTTTTTACGCAATGGATGCCATTCCAGCCATAACCCATTTCTGGGAAACATCCACACACAAACACTAATACACTTTGGACAATTTAGCCTACCCAATTCACCTGTACCGCATGTCTGTGGACTGTGGGGGAAACCGGAGCACCTGGAGGAAACCCATGCAAACGCAGAGAGAACATGCAAACTCCACACAGAAACACCAACTGAGCCAAGGTTCAAACCAGCGACCTTCTTGCTGCGAAATGACAGCACTACAAACTATGCCACTGCGCCGCACAAACATTCATTCATTCATTCATTTTCCTTCGGTTTAGTCCCTTATTTATCAGGGGTCGCCACAGCGGAATGAGCCACCAACTGTTCCACCATATGTTTTACACAGCAGATTCCTTACCAGTCGCAACCCAATGCTGGGAATCATCCATACACTCTCACATTCACACACACTCATATACTATGGCCAATTTTAGTTGATCCAATTCTTCTATAGCGCATGTCTTTGGACTGTTGGGGAAACTGGGGCACCTGGAGGAAACCCACATGAACATGGTGAGAACATGCAAACTCCACACAGAAATGCCAACTGGCCCAGCCAGGACTCGAATCAGCGACGTTCTTGATAGTGTTATCCACTAAGCATCCTTGCCACCACTGCTCAAAACACACTTCCCTAAATGTACCTAGTGAGTCATTGATTAGCTAGCTACACATTGCATGTGTTTGAATGGAAGTCTATGGGGCGAAAGGTGCAGTGTGACCGCAGATTTAGAAACGTGAGTGCCATTTATAAAACATTCCAGCTATCAGAGATTTTATAAAACAAAGCAAATAAAATGCACTCTTAGTGCCTTGCTACACTGCCAGCATTTTTAAAAAGTGGTTAACAGAAAAAGAACAGTGCTCAATTTTCTTTAGCAAAAAAAAAAAAAACACTTATGTGGACAGGCACCCTTATAGTAACTTTCTGGTAAAAAGAAAGACATTAGTTAGCTTGTTCAGATGTCATTGTTTAGGGTTAACTAAACTCGTCAGGACTGTTTACATCTTACACACAATTCATGCATTTTTGTCTGATTGGATAGCTGTCTGATCATGTGAAAATGCCCTCCAAAATGCATTCGAGTCTAATATAAATTTGATAACTTAAACCACTTTAGGAGGTGGTCTGGAATGCATTCCTGATTAAGCTGGACAGGTCTAAATGCATCTGGTTGTTAAAAGCACATTTTGAGTGAAAAAGTATAATTTACTCCTACCAAAATTAATAAATAAATAAATAAATAAATGAGAGAGCATGTTATAGGCTAAACATAGTCAGATAACAGTGCTTATGCAAAATGCAACAGCAACACCACATATGGAAATTTGTTTCATTTTATTTCATTTCATTTTCATTCTGACTGATTATTAACCTTTAAGTGGTAAAATTAGATGTCAATGTTACTTTTATATCAAATGGCAGCATTTACATGAGAACAAATTACCTCTGTGAATGGAGAGGAAAGATAAAATAAAAATATGGTGTTTCGTTTGTTTACAGAGTCACAGTGTTTTCTTTTTGGTTGAGTAGCCTGTACACAAAATAATGTTAACCCTTTACAGTTTTAAATGATGTCTTGCATGTATCTGAATGACAAAAATGGATGTTTAATTTAGCCTGTAATTTCGGTAATCACGGAATACAGCACAGAATGCATTTGTGCTGGTGTTTTACAAAGCCTCCTGTGGCCTACATATCAAATGAATTGTATGCTGTATACGATGTAATGGTTATGTTACAGCTTACATCATAATAATTTAATAAAATTCATGCCTGACACCTTAGTCAACGAAACCTAGTCAAAAAATTTGCATGTAGCGTGGGATTTGAAGTTCAGATTTATATCCATTTAACAGATTTATGTGGCTAAAAGTAAATGGAAACGTTTTAAAAATCAGATAGACATCCAATCAAAGAAAATGCACAAAGTGACTAGGTATAAATACCCCCCCTTAGTAAATTACAGTGGAAGACCAGAGATAAGAACACATGCTCTCTATAATCTGTTTCATAATGTTCTACCAACCCCTGGGAAAACCTTATACATGTACCTGCTTCTACATTTTCTAGTGGTTGCAAACAGTGGGTACAAAAATACACTCTTTGGGTGTTTAATCTATACCTTTAAATTGCCAATTTGATTCCTTTAGGGATTATAATTTACAAAGATGTAACATTACAGTGACAGCTTTTGTACTTTTTGCCAAGACTTTAGAAACTGTATAACATCACATTGACAACAACTAAGACCATTGTAACTTATTAGACAGCAAAATACTTTTATAACTACTTGCATTGACAATAGCCTACAACACCTTAGCACTGAAGTGGCAGGTTGCTTGTGTACCAGATTCACCAAGAGCACAATGTTCTACTAATCATCCAGAACACCCTAGAACTGGCCCTAAATATACTGAAAAAAACTGAAAAAAAATTATATATATATATATATATCTTGGGAAACACATAACAATGCCCTTGCATTTACGTTCTAGAGCTAGAGATGTTCCAAAATGAAAATTGTAAACTTTGTCTCAGAATTTGGTGGGTCTGTTGTTGGAAAGCACGTTCAGTCATGAATAATTAATAAGCAGGGTCTTCTCATAGGAAAAGAAAACTCAGTTTGTAAAAATTAATGAAGCACCAACGTGTAATCAATCTACTTGCAGTTGAGTGCTACGTCACAGATTTTGATCCCGTCCCAATAATGATTTTAAACCCGGAAGATGAAATTAGAGAGTGTCATGTTGGCTTAGTGGTTAGCACTGTCACCTCACAGCAAGAAGGTCGCTGGTTTAAGTCCTGGCTGGGCCAGTTGGCATTTCTGTGGGGAGTTTGCATGTTCTCCCCATGTTCACATGGGTATTCCCCACTGTGCTTTAAGTGAATTGGATAAACTAAATTGTTCGTAGTGTATGAGTGTGTGTGTGAATGAGTGTTTCCCACTACTGGGTTGTGGCTGGAAGGACATCTGCTGTGTAAAACATGCAGAAATAGTTGCCGGTTCTCAAATGCCTATAAAATTCTATTCTTGATTAACTTGTTCAGTGTTTGATGCTGATTTAAGCATATGCTGGAATAGTTGTTGGTACATTCCGCTGTGGCAACCTCTGAAATGAAATGAAAAATGGTGAAATTGGCATACAAAGCTTAAAATTATTCAGTTTCCCCCACAATTAAAGCTCACAATTGTTGTTTTAATTGATGCACAACACTCATAAATCTGTTAAAATCTCAAAAAAAAGTCCTCAGGGGTTTCTTGAATCTTTAAACCAGCTCAGAATCAGCAAGAACCAGCTTAAACTAGCGCCATTTGTCAAAACTAGCATTTGCTGTTTTTTTTTATTTCCAGCAGGTACACATAGCCACGCCCTACCAACCCTATTGCAATGCCCTAGCAATCACTCTACCATCAAGGTAGTTAATTTTACACTCTGAAACTAAATCTCCCCTCTACTCACCTCTCACTCTACTTTGACCTTATAAGTGTGTTTGTGAAATGATCTTGAACAGAAGTCTCTGAAAATGAATGCTGTTAAATGAACCATGTCTGCAAGAGCATTCGCCACTGTTGTGGATTTACTCTCCACTAGCTTCCTCCCAGTTCACACAATCCTAAGCTTCATGTTTGTGGTATAATCAAGAGTGCCAGAGCATCAGGGGCTGCTTGTTAGCATGCATGTGCGAAACAGCGCATTTCATATGTCAGCGGATTCCCGCAGTTCAAA